GAAATAATCATTGCTTCATAAACCTCTGTGTGAGTGTGTGTGTGTTTTATTTATTTATTTTTAAAGTACCGATTTAAATACCGTTTAGGAACCTGTACCATTTTGAAAGTATCGATTTAGCACCGGTATCGAAATAAACCCTTTCAATACCCAACCCAAGTTGAGACTCCAGCCAATAAAAAGGAAGAACGACATTCCCAGGGGAGTCTCCAGAATGAATTGAAATGTTTGCATCACGTCATGATGTGGGCAACAAAATAATGTGGACGTTTTCCAAACAGTGAACTCAAAAATGATGTTGAAAAACTGGACATGTAAAACGAGACCGCACTGCTCGGTGATGGCAAACACTCCAAATTCAGTGAAACTGCAGCTGAAAATTTGCCTATTTTCTCACAATTTTAGTCTAGTCTCCAACAGTTGCAGGCAAGTGAAATTATTCCTAGTGTTTCACACTGAAACTAGCACAACCACTCCCATACCCTACAACAATTATCCTCAATCCTCGTCCTTGAGGTCACTATCCTGCATGTCTTAGATGTATCGTCACACTACAACGTTAAAGACAATTTATAAAATAAAAGTTTTAAAATAATTAGGCCAACTTGTGACAAATTTGACCAACACTAAAAATGTCTAAGCTGAAGATGGAATTTGGACTTATACACACTGTGATGCTAACAGTTAGACCGAATAGTCAATATTAGTAAAATGGCTAAAACTAAATTTTCCTAAGTCAGCATAAATGGTGTAAAACATTATAATGTGACAGGGCCTTACCCCTGATTTGACACACCTGATTTGAATAAATGAGTGATTAACAGGCTTCTGAAGGACGTGAGGACCTGCTGAAAAGCAGGGAAACAACTAAAATGTGCAGAAAAGTGGTCCTTCAGGATCAGAGTTAAGGACCATTGGTTTGCAATACGTTTTTGTTTCAAGTGCGATTATGAATGCATTGATAATTGTTTTATAATTGCATCGCAGCCCTCTCAACCGTAATTGAATCGGACCACTTGTGTCACCATCATAAGTTTTACAACTATTTTTCAGTAATGAAAAACACTAAAAAATAGAAAGTGAATGACTCTTTAGAATCTCCCAAAATTTACAGTTAAAAACAAATTTTGTGCAAATGAGTAAGAAAAAACAAAACTAACCTCCATTGTTTTAAGCAACAATGTTTTGATTGCTTAAAACACACTGCAATAAAAAATGCTAAAAGATAGCATTTTCCTCCTTTTTTCAATTCAAATTTAAATTCAAATTCAAAGTGTTTATTGTCATATGCACAGATGAAAAACATGCTTCCCTGAGCAATGAAATTCTTACTTTGTCGTCCATTTTTGAATGCAGAGAGATAACCATATTAAAAACTTTTTTTTGACTATTTTAGCAGAAAAACATCTTTGAAAAATTTGTGTGCTTAGACAGGGGAAATACAACTGGAAATAGCACTTTTATGTTTGGTGAAAAAGGGTGAAAAAAACTGTTGCCGGCAGAAATACAATCTAATTTCATTTGAAATAGTTGTATTTGTTGTATCTGCTCTTCTGAAAGCAAAACCACATGACTGAATTTCTGCAATAGAAGTAAATCTCTCATCAGTTTGCAGAAATTTTTATCAATAATATTTTTAAAACACGATCAAAATTTTGGATTTTTATATAAATACATTTACAGCTACAAGTCTCTGTTGACATATTTTGTGGTAAACTGTAAATGTCCAAGTTGACGATTGGAAAAAAAGTAATTAACTAAAGCATGGGATGGATGGATGAAGTAAATGGTTTGACTTTTGGAGGAAAATAATTAGATAAAATCAAATAATGAAAATGAAAATAGTTGTTAGCGTCTGCTTGTGTGACTATATTTATATCAACATTTTTTTTTTGAGGAATGGTGCACAGATCCAGTAAACCAGTTATTCCAGTAAGCCTTAAAAGTTAAAATCAAACAAACAATAAAAATCTGTTATTACAAGCCTATGAATGTTCCTCTAGTTAATATTTGTGTCTGGGTGTATGTGAGCACCAGACCTTGAACTCATCCTTCTTGATGACACCACCAGGCTGCAGGTGTTGGCGGATCTCATGGAGGACGGTCAGCATAGCAATGTTGGTCTTGCCAGCACCAGTTGGAGCACAGATCAGAAGATTTTCATTGGTGTTGTAGGCCGTCTCAAAAACAATGGACTGGATCCTGTTTAGGCGCTTCATTCCTTTAAACACCAGCTGCCCGATCTGAGAATGGAACGTTAAAAAGATGGATAAAAAGGGGTTAAAACAGTTTTGTTACTTGAATCACAAAACATTTATTGCAGTTGTCTCATACCGTCTGCCTGTAAGAATAAACCAGAAACATCTGTGACTTTTTAAAGTGCCTAAATCTAATCTAAATTCAAGGTACAACATGTTTTACTTCTATAGTTATGGCTGTCAGGCTTTGCCACATGCCACAACTAGTGACGCTCTTTTCCAACTTCTTAAGAGAAAACCAGTTAAGACAAAACTGGGCATCCTGCTTCTAAAGACATTTGATAGTACAACCTTGTTAGAGTGTTCCTACAACAAGCAAAAAGTGAATTTTACACAAACAAAAAGAGAGGATCCAAATGCAAAAAGGTAAATGTTGAAGCTATGGTCCGATTGTGCAAGCTTTTTCATGTGAGACAAAAAGATGCCCAGTTCAGCAATCCTTTGACAGTACAAGAGCAGACTGGCCTGCTACATGGGGAAAGATAGAATGCAGCACAACTTCCACTCTGCTCACAAGTCTCCAATGCATTACCAAAATCTAATACAATAAAGGAGTTCCTCAGAAAAAATGAACACCAAAACTAACTCTGCAACAAGACAGACATGCACCAACCCGAACAAATTTAAGTAGTGTTTTGTGGTTTATTTAAAAAAATCTAAATATATATTTTCAACTAATAGTATTTCTGCTAACAGAATGGTTAAAGTTTAATTGTAGACACTTTTTCTTTTTGAGTGAACAACACTCTCCAGTATGCAGGTGAGTTAATACCCAAATCTACCACAAAGAGAAAACTTCATGAAAGTAAATACAGAGGGTTCACTGCACGGTGCAAGCCACTCATATAGCCCATGGACTAATAAGCCTCATAAATAAAAAGGCTAGATTGGACTTAGGTAAAAAAAAATCATTTTTTAATAAAAAAGAAGAAGAAAAAGAAGAAATGTAATGGGGAAGATTGAGAGAGACATTAGAGAAGATATGTGAAATATATACACCAAGAAAACACAAGACAACACACCCGACATCTGTCTGCACACCTGTAAAAATGGAGAACACAAAAATACAGCAACAAAGAACATGCGTATATCATAATAATTATAACCTTGCTATGGACCTAACTGATATCGCAAAGTGGATATGTTAAACTTTAGATTAGGATGATACTTTTGCTCAAAGTAAATGAGGTTGTTTGTTTGGGTTACAGGGGAGATGTTGGCTGTGTCTCAATTGAAATGCTGCGTCCTTCGAAGCCCGCATTTGTCGGCGGCTTACGTCGTTGCCCTGCAACAAATGTTGTCCCAGTTCGTGGGCTCCTCCACATGCAACCTATGAATGTGGCCCACACTTTTTGTTGTTGTTTTTTACCAAGTTGTTTGGAACTGTGAAGTTTGGAAACTCATCACGAACCAAATAATTTGTTATCTACTGAAATTTATGCTGCAATGAGATGTTAAATAAAATGCAATTACAATTACTGATACTTGAGCTAAACCCAAATTAATAATGTTTATTTATTTCTGTGTAAACTTTTTAATTGTGAAGTCATTCATCCAGTGAAATGACATGTGAATACCCGTTGCAATGCAATTTAACTCTGAAGGCACGTGATACCATGGTAACGAGGTATTATTATTATTAGTAGTAGTATTTTTATTTATTTTTATTTTTATTTTTTAGTTTTTTGTAGTTTTTAGTATTATTAAGATACGTCATTCAATGGCTAGGCCATCTCATTTCACAGCCCTTTTATGCAGCCTACTGCAGGTTGTGGTCTATGTCCTTGAATTAATACACAGCTGTTGTGTTATTTGGTTTACACAGTGAAAGCATTTATGTTCTGTGCTGTTGTTATTACGCTTATCACTAGAATGGGCTATTATAACAGCATAGGGCAGAAGAGACTTGGTGAGAATAAATACAGCGAGATACAGACAGCACTTTGTCCTGTAATGGTGTCTTCACACAGCTGTAATAAAGTTTGAGAGTTTAACAGTATTTCCTATTATCTTACATCTGTCACAACAGAATCTTAATACATTATATATATGCATGCTTTTATTATTTTTAAATACATAAATAATTTTATTTTATCATTTTGGAATTTGAACTTTAATTACAATATACATAGAATATTAATAAATTTCATTCTTTAACTTGTACGTCTTTGTTTACATTTTAATTTATGAAACGCTTTAAATGTTTAAACAGGTCGGGAAGGAGGTCCTGCCCCAAGTGGAGGAGTTTAAGTATTTCGGGGTCTTGTTCAAGAATGAGGGAAGAATGGAGCGGGAGATCGACAGGCGGGTTGGTGCTGCGTCTGCAGTGATGCGGGCGCTGTACCTATCTGTTGTGGTGAAGCGGGAGCTGAGCCAGAAGGCGAAGCTCTCGATTTACCGGTCAGTCTGCGTTCCTACCCACATCTATGGTCACGAGCTTTGGGTAGTGATCGAAAGAACAAGATCGCGGATACAAGCGGCCAAATAAGTTTCCTCTGTAGGGTGTCTGCGCTCTCCTTTAGAGATAGGGTGAGAAACTCAGTCATCCGGGAGGGACTCAGAGTAGAGCCGCTGCTCCTCCACGTCGAGAGGAGCCAGTTGAGGTGGCTCGGGCATCTGTTTAGGATGCCTCCTGGACGCCTCCCTGGTGAGGTGTTCTGGACATGTCCCACTGGGGGAAGACCCAGAGGAAGACCCAGAACACGCTGGAGGGACTATGTTTCTCCAAATTTCATGTTGATCGGCGCAGCCGTTTTTGTGCTACGGTTGACAAAAAAATCACGGGAAAAAAAAAAGTACAAAAACAATATGACTCCCGCTTATGCTTCGCGTGCGGGGTCATAATAAACAGTGTAAATTGATTATCCTTTATGGAGAATAAATGGTCTTTTGATTAACTTATTAATCAGTAAAATTAATCAATGTACTTATCAAAATAAGAAGTGTAGTTATAGTAGCAACCCTAAGAAATTAAATAATATTTTACAATGCTTTTGAACTAAATATCAGGATTTCCTTTCAAAACCTAAGTGTGATCACTTGAGTTTTCATCATTTTTTTAAATTTATCTAGCTACACATATTATCAATGCATTTTACTATAGACATCCCAAAGAACGCCTTTAGAAAAAATAGGAGCAAGGTCATTGTTGATTGGCACAGTCAGTCACACAGCTGAGTATTAGTCAGTTACCAATGGCAACTAGATCTGGGCCAGCACCAAGCACTTACAGCACTTGCCCCCAATGGCAACTACATTTTCTGTGACAAAAACACACTTTGGAATCTTCTACCACACTGACATGAAACGCAGGCAGCCGATACATAACAGTGTCAGCGAGTAAACCTTAGACTGTTTGTTAGGCAAGTGTGCAGTGAGTGGAGCATCAAAAGGAATGGAGGTGAAGAAGTGTGTGTGTGTGTGTGTGTGTGTGTGTGTGTGTGTGTGTGTGTGTGTGTGTG